GTGGTTCTTATTATACAGAAGCTCTAGTCAATCTCATAAATGAGAGGCTGACCAAAGTGGGGAACAGTTTTTGTAAAAACTTAAATAATAAGTAAGTACATAAAGACATAAAAATCTAATTGGGATGCCATTAATGGGGATGACTCTAGTCCTTTAAATCCCTACTGAATAAAGCAAAGTCCACTGTAAACTGTCAACTGAAACCAGAAACTATACCAATCAGAAAGTACCAACTAACTTCTAACAAAAGTTATTTTTCTTGTCTTATCTCTACAAATACTTAATAAAACTGTCCCCTCTTGTCCCCTCAGCAGAGTACAACCCCCATTCATGAGCTGCAGAATACACAAACACTGTAAAATTTAAGTATATGTAAGTTTTTCTTATATCAATGAAAATCTTTCTTATTATTTATTTATGTGTTTGAGTATTATGCCTGCATGTATGTAAGTGCACCAGTGTCTTGCAGTGCCCACAGAGGACAGAAGAGGGCATCAGATCCCCTGGAACTGGAGTTACAGATGATTGTTAGCCACCATATGGGTGCTGGGATTCAAACCCAGGTCTTCCGCAAGAACAGCCAGTGCTCTTAACGGCTGAGCTATCTCTCTAGACCCCCTTTTTTTAAAATTTTTTAAATGTATTTGTATTTTAGGTGTATGAGTATTATGCCTGAATATATGTAAGTGTACCCATGTCATATAGCAATGGTAAATCTTATGGCTTTACATTTTAGCAATGGATTCTTAGCTATGACATCAAAAGCATGAGCAATAAAAGAAAAAGCAGGCAGTATGGTGGCAAGTGCTTATAGTTCTGTTACCCAAGAGCCTGAGCCAGGAGGATCACTTGAACCCAAAATTCAAGACCAGCATGGTGCCTCATACTCAGAGGTTAAGGCAGGAGAATTGCCTAGAGTTTGAGGTCCGCCTGGGCTACATTCTAGGTTCAACATCATCCTGGGCTACAGAGTGAGACCCTGTCTCAAAAAGTATATATCTTAGGGCTGGATGGCTCAGCGGTTAAGAACACTGAATGTTCTTGCAGAAGACCCGGGTTTGAATCCCAGCACCCACATGGCAGCTAATAATTGTCTGTAACTCCAGTTCCAGGGGAATCATATCTTATATGATTTTTTTACATCTATTTACATGTATGTGTATATGTGTGTATGCACACACGTGCACATGCCATGGTATGCGTATAGAGGTCTTGTAGGAGTTAGTTCTCTCCTATCATGTGGGTTTCAGAGATCAAAATCAAGTTGTCAGGCTTAGCAACATGCACCTTAACCCATTACACCATCTTGCTGACCATATATTTAAAATAAAAATAAAAACACCTGTGATGAAAGTGGAAGCCCTAAGGATCTCTGACTCACCTTTGCAGTTTCTCTTCCACCAAGAAAATAAGTTTGCTTATTTATTTACTCAGTTATTCATTTGTTCATTATTTCATAGTGCTAAGGATCAAATCTAAGGCCTCTTCATACTGGACAAGTACTCTACCACTAAACTATATTCCCAGTCATTCCAAAGTGTTAAACATAGTGCCTAGATTCTTTTGAGATGACTATTCCATACTGATTTTCCCTATAATCTTTATATATTCACAGTATATAAAGAATTCTTATAATTCAGCAATGAAAAAAGACAACTTAAAAGTGGGCAAGCTGAGCATGGTGGCACACCCCTTTAATCCCAGCACTCAGGACGAGCCATGCAAATCTCTGTAAACTCAAGGACAGCCTGGTCTATATAGTGAGTTCTAGGCAGCTGAGACTACAGGGAGACACTGTCTCAAAAACAAAAACAGAGAAACAAAAACTGGCCAAAGAACTTCACATTTCTCCAAAGACACACAAATGAACAACAAACTCACGAAGAAATCATCAACTTCATTAGGCATTAGGAAAATGTGAAACCACGGTGAAATGCCACATCATATCTAACAGGACAGCTGCAAATTTTAAATAAAATGACAAACACTGGGAAGAATTTAAAGAAGCTAGAAGTTCATACAGAGCTGATAGAACTGTGAAATGATGGGACAGTTAGGCAACTCCTCAAAAATATAAAAACTGTCATATCACCAAACAATTCCACTCTTTGTATCCAAAAGAAAACTATATTCATATAAATATATGTACACACATGCTCATGATACCAACATTCACAACAATATTCAAAAAGTAGAAGCAATCCATCAGCAGACAAATGGATGAACAGAATGTCAAAAATACAGACAACAGAATATTTTTCAGCTTGAGAAAGAATCAAGTGATCTTGCAAGGCAGATGAAGCTCAAAAACATGCTGAGTAAATAAAAGAAGCCAAACACAAAGGGTCACATTATGGCTCCATTGATATGAAACAGCAAGAACTGGTAAATACAGAAATAAAGTAAGTTCTTGGATGACAGAATGAAGGAAGAGGATAACACAGAAAAATTGCTTAGTATATCGGAGATATTTTTTTAAGGCAATGAAAATGTTTGGAGATTCAATAGAACTAGATCTACAACACTGTAAATGTAAGGAATGCCACTGGGTTGTTGATTAAATCAGTCAGTTTTAAGTAAGGTATATTTCACGCCTCAATTTAAAAACAGAAACATCATAGACTGCGGGCAGGCTTTGACCTATGACAGCATCTGCCAGTCTTCATCTTGAGCTGATGATCAGTGCAGAAGCCCAGGCCCAGAGTCAGAACCCTACACTAAACAAGCTCTCCAAGAGATATTGCCATGTGAGAATCATTTCCCCAAGGCACTCATCAAAAGCATTATGAAATAGTAAGTCCATGAGAACACAATGTGTTCATGTGCACGGAAAGGCACCGAAAAGAGTACTCTGAGGGAATGTAGCCCTGTGACAGAGGCAGGAAGCAGAGATGGCCACAGATAGGAGAGGGTCCCACCTAAGACCTGTTGGTCTAGAAAGACAAGTGGGTCGCCAAGAGACAAGAAGTGTCCTGTCCCCTGAAGCATAACACATGCCCCTACAGGACTGTATCCTGAGGAAGGAAAAGCAAGATAGATAGGCAGGGCTCCATTCAGTTGCTCCTACGTGTAGGCCCCACCCAAATACCCAGAGTGGGTCATGGTGACTCAACTGTCACTCAAAAAATATCCTTGGAGTGAGTATGTGCAGAGGGCAGGAGGTAATCCAGAACCTGAATCCCCAGGTCTAAAGATAGGCCTTGTCATTAACCCCGAGACTTGGTTTCCTTCTCTATAAATAAGCTCAGTAATCACTCCACAGGAGGTTCACGGGAAGGTAAACTGAGATAAGGGATTTGCAGTAAATCTCATGACTACCTCACCCTTGATCCAGGAACAACTGGCTGTAACATCAAAATGTATGATAGCGTGTAGCTATCAGAGCACATGGCCACAGCAAGACCAGGTGACACAGATGCCCACTCTACTCAACAATGATGTATGTGCCTAACCCCAACTGAACAAGCACAGTTGGATAAAATGGACAGTAAGCCTCAGCTGGTGACCCCTGGAAACCTAGGATGAAGGGCAGTGGAGTATTCCTACCTCCCAGCCTAGATCAAATACAAGCCTCTAACATCCTGCAAAATCATGCCACTTCCTAGAATTCAGCCCTTTTCAGAATCAAATGCTACACGAGGCCAAGGTGGAAAGAGGATGCAATAACCATAAGACATCATATTACACTTAAGAAAAAGTGAGGCACCAAGATATCAGCAGTTCTCCCAAGATCAATCAAGCAGAACAAAGGCCCCACAACACACAAACAGGGTTGTCCCAACTAACACCATCACCAATACCGTCAGCTCCAACCAAGCCGTACCTGTCTCTTACCCCTATATCAAACTCCAAACTACACCCTGCTCTGTCTGCCTGAACCAGGACCCAGCTTTGTACCATGGCCCAGGAAGTCACTCAGCATTGCTACAGAGCTCCTGGAGGAGCCACACCAGTCCAATCATCATTGGTAGCCCCACCTTGCTTGAGGTTCAAGGGCTCATAACTAAGCATTATTAGCAGAGAGCAGTTGAGGGAAGAGTCTTAAACACAAACTAAATTTAATCTTAACCTCATCCAAGGTTCAACCCCAGGCCAGACTGACACTAAAACCAAGGGAGATTCTAACCCAAATGCCAGCACCAGCCCTTTGCTGCCCAATGTCAATGCAACTTGAAACAAGAAATGGGACACTGCAAGTAAATATTCATAGCAGGAAGAGGAGCCTGGGGCACCATGTTCCACCAGAGTCACAGGCAAAAAAATAACTCTGGTTCACCCAGAACATGCAAGGATCCTCATATGACTAGAAAGCCCGGTTCTGGCTAGGCAACAACCCTTTCCTGGAGGGGAGGCCTACAGTACACTGTAGACCCAATGAACCAGCCTGGCACTAGACAGACACACGCACACACGCACACACACACACAAGCGTAGGCTGGGCCCTTCTTCCTGTCTGTCTTGGGGCTGAAGATCCACATGCACCTCCTGGTCTTCTAAGACCCACATACGTACCAAGCTTCCTTCATGCACTGACTGCTAGGAGCTCACAGCCTTGGGCCCAGAGGAAAACCACAACTCTAGTCCAATCTAATTCAATCTTTATCTTCATCATTGCGTTTTCTGCTCTCCACGTGTTATATTCATGAGATCTTATCACATGAAAAACCATGGCCAGCTAAACACGGTCATGTTCCAGGCTGGAATGAGATCCACCACTCCATGCTGCCAGCTGGTCCTTCCTATATACTAGGATGCCCAGACCCTGATCTATTATCAACTGTTAGGACTAGTGCTATCCCAGCCCAGAGCCCAGATTTGCTCTAGGCCCTGACCAAGACTTCTGTCTAGTCCACAACGGCCCTTCCTCAGCACATTCCCCATGTCTGTAAGGGTCACCAATAGACACTTGACTTGGAATATGAGGGCCCTGTTACACCATCACTACTTCTGATAACCACACAAATCCACTCAAAAGGGGCATATGGGTGGGCAGAACTCACCAACATCCGAATCTTTGTGGGTCTTGATGACTTCGGCAAGTTCAAAGTTCCCTGCAATAATGGCAACCTGAAAGAAAGGAGAAGTCAAGACACGGAGGACAAGGAGGGAGGCTCAGCAGCCCAGGCTTACCCCATTGTAGGTAGGGAATTCCTCCCCAAGCCACCCTCTTCTCAAGTCACAGCAATCAATATTTACTGCAATATCACTTGTTCCAGATAAGAAATAGGGTGCCTGTAACTAGGGTAACCCATTGCCCCCCTTCTACCTAGGACCAATGCTGCTTCTGGTACACAAGGCTTGGAGCTAAAATCTGAACAGACCTGAGTATACTACCAGAACTTTTAATATGCTCCTATGGCAGTCATGATTTGTGTCTGAGTCATAGCCCCACAGCTTCTCAGCCCATTACTCTCACTCTTCCAACTTGTGTCCCTGAACCTAGCCTTCTAACAGGCTCTGGTATATCTACTTCCAGATATGCCCAAACTCTCCACTTCTGCCCCACCCTCCCAGACCACATGACCACAGCAGCTTGACTTTCTCATATTGAAAACAGGCAGCCCCCTCCCACCCCCTGTTTCCATGTTTCCATAAATTCCCATGACAACTCCAACTCCTCCAAAACTCCAGGCCATAGAGATCTTAACTACGTGGTCATTCAGTGCCAAACAACCCAGGAGACAAAGGGCTCAGAAATATAAGTCAGGGGTGGATATCACACCCTTCTCAGTATTGTCCCTCTGCACTCTCTGCCTGCTTCTAGAGATAGGCCCACACCTGTCTTCCTGTCTCTTCATCTATCCCCTCCACTTAGAGTCCTGGGAGTCCTCCAACCTTTCTCTTTGGAAGGGAAATGAAAGAAACCACCACACCAAGCACCCAAATACTGAGCACCTCACTGGCCCACTTACATATCTACCTTCTAGGGCAGATCTGGAAGTAAGCACACCCTTCTTACCCTCCAGGGAAAAATCAAGGTTCAAAGTTGCAATGGGACAAACAAGCAACCCCTTGGGGCAGCCTCATACCCCTGTACCTGGAAGGCTGTCTGGCTGTTGTAATTTCGGACATCCTTGTTGGCTCCTCGGAAAAGCAGGACACGAGCACAGCTCTCCTGTTGGGAGGCAACAGCAATCACATTGGGCAGCTGGAGATGCAGGGCCAGGAGGCCATGGCAGATACACATGGAAGTACACACATGAGTACAGGGCACAGGAATCACATACACATAGACTCACATCTGTTCAGCCCACACCTGGGCTAGGTAGGCATATGTGAGCAGCTACCACCTGGCTAAGAGCTGGTTATTCAGAACTCACATGTGGACACATTGATACATGTGTGTGTTCAGAGAACAGATGTGTATAAATAGGCCACCCAGTAACAAGACTGGACATAAAACAAACACATGGAGTAGCACACAAACTGGGATGTACAGATTCCTGTGTATAGGAACACATATATTCAGTTACACTTTGTCACATATAGAACATGTGAGTGAGCCCACAGACAAGAGTGACTCAAGGTGTACCTGGTTGTAGAGGGCACAAATGTGAAGTGCTGTATTTCCCGAGGCATTCTGGGCACCCATGTTTGCCCCATAGAATAGCAAGTGTTCCAAGTGCTGCACATGCCCAAAGCGGCAGGCCTGAGGAAGAAAGAGGTACTGCAGCATCCCAGACAGAGGCTGGGGCCACCTGTATAGAGTCAGTAACCCCAACCCTTACCTGATGGATCTCTTGCCAACCATTCTCATCAGTGGTCCCCAGCTGTGCATGATCATGAAGAAGCAATTCACAACAGAGGGCATCCCCGCCCCCTAGGGCGCTATGGTACAGAGGTGTCAGGCCACGGCTATCCTTGTAGTCAGGTGAAGCCCCCAGGTCCAGCAGGGTCTGAAGGTGAGGCACCTTAGCATCCATGCCAGGCCCAGCATTGTACCTCATCAGCCCATGAGCCCCTCCAGGCCAGGGTTCTGCCCTCACTGACCGTCAATGCTCCCGCATTCCGCTGGCGAGTTGCACAGTGGACGGCTGTTAGCCCATCTCGGGTTCGGAAATCCAGGTGAGCACCACCATTACGCAGAACCTTCAGCAGATCGGTGGCATTGTCCAACTGTGCTGCAAGGCTCAGAGGGCACTCTGAGTTTGGAGATAAATGAAGGTTAGGGTCCCAGCCACTCAAACAATAGCCCCTCCCTATGCTGCTCCTCACCTCCTGAGTCAGGGTCGTGAAAATTGGGGTCCAGCCCCTTGTCCAGCAGACGGGCCACCTTGTCTGTGCTGTGTAGCTGGACATAGTCCATGAACTTCTTCAGGTTTGCCTGGAACACCAGCCATCCCAATCAGCTAGGTACCATGCCCATGGTTATCTTACCATCACCCCCTTCCTCCAGCAAGCTACAGACCACCTGTAAGGCACATGAACCCCAATCTGCCTGACCTGTCACCCAGCTTGCTTATCCTCAAACCCACACTCCTACCTCAGCTCTAATTCCAACTTGGGTGGACCCATGTGCTGCTCAAAGCCCTTCCCTACAAACCCACAACATCTGCCAGCCTGAGCCTGGACACCCTCACTACAGCCAGGTCACCTCGTCATAGTGACCCTTCCCTCAACATGAAATCCCCCGGCTTTGCCTTCTGCACTGGAGTTGCAATCTACCCAGCCTAGAAAAGCACTGAGTCCCCTTGGCAGGAGCCAAATCTCTGACAACTTTGGACCTCCTCTTCTAACACATCTTACTCATCAGCTCCCCACACACCCCACAGCAGAACCTTGGGATCCCTATGACATGAATTTGTCTTTTACTCCTTCACCCAGCAAAGCCTCACTAGCTTTGGCTGGTGGCACATACTGATGCCATACATCCAGAGCAAGATGCCCCAACCTAGGCAGCTAGAAATAGCATGTATCAAGAGACAGGAGAGGATGCCTCATGAACCAGTGTCATGGATCAAGATGATGAAACCAGCTTCTCTATGAGAAGCTTTAGCCAGCTTCAAGGTGACAGGTAGCAGGTAAAAGTACAGGGCTGTAATATGGAATTCAGACTCATCCTAAAAACAAGTAGGGCTCACTGAAAAGCAAGTCACTCATGTCCTCTAGGCCCTTGAGAAAAGATCTGGAGGAAGCTAGAGTTACAGGGTCACACAGGGCCAGTTGAGGGAGACAGTGATCTTTCTGACATGATTTCTAGCCAGCACAGGGCCCAGAAAAGTCTGCTACAGAAGCTTGAGGATCTAGGACCACAGATAGGAAAGGGTCACCAAAGGCCCTTTCCCTAGGCTCCAGAAACCATTAAATGTCCAAGATCCAGCAAGCAAATTCGCATTGGCTCATGGAGCTTATGGAGGCTTGGAAAAGGGGTGTGACACCCACCTTGCTCTCAGAGAAGCAGTGCAGTGCCCCCTCCAAGAAAAGTATATGGGGGCTAGAGAGATGGCTCAGCAGTTAAGAGCACTGACTGCTCTTGCAGAGGACCCCGGTTCGATTCCCAGCACCCATATGGCAGCTAGAAACCGTCCTTAACTCCAGTTCCAGGGAAATCTGAAGCCCTCTTCTGACCTCTGCGGTGTTGCACAACAAGGGTGCACTCACATACATACAGACAATACACTCATACACATTAAATAATAAATAAATGAAATAATTTTTTTTTTTAAAAAGAAAAGTATATGGAGTCAGGCCCACATGGGAGTAGCTCCCAGAAGAAAAGGCACTGTACAGTTGTGCTAGGCCACAGGGCCTAAAGTCAGACAGATCTGGGCCAGCTTCACTGGGCAATCACAAGCGACTCAACCCTTCTTGTTCCCAGTTTCCTTACCTGTGAAATGAGGTAATGAATCCCTCCCAGAACAAAATTAATGAAATGCCTAATTGCATGTTCCTAGTACTAGGGAACACTAAGCACTGGACCTCCTGCCCCCATAGCCAACACAACAGATGCTTATTTACCTCCCTCTCACCCAGCTTCTCACAAGACACTTAACCCCCTACACCAGCAAAAGTCTGATCTAACTGGAGCCCATCACCAGACCAGTCATGAGCATGGGGGCCTGTGCCCAGTCCCCCATCAGGTCCTGAAGTCCATTTAGGAGAAAGCAGACTGAGCCAAATTGGACTGTGGTCAGTCTAAGCCAGAGGAGACCTGTGGTCATGGGAGTCCCCTCCAATGACTGTCTCTTTACCTTTGTGTGTAGCTTTGCAAATTGCTTGTCATCTATGAGGTTCTGGGCATAAACTCGCCGCTTGTAACGAAACTGCTCAAATAAAGAGAAGATGGAAAGAAGGCACCATGAAGGCCAGTGAGCAAGTGGTAGCCACCACCATGCTATTCATGCACACACTGCTCACCATCCTCCTACCCACACCTCAGTGCAACACAGCCTAACAGCCACATAAGTCTCAGGCACACACGTCCACAATAAACAGAGCCAATAGCTACTGCCTACCCACCACACAGCAACTTTGTGTGATACTGGGAAGACAATACCTGGCTGAATCACAACCTGTCTCATTCCCATCACCAGAATTCCTTGGAAAACCCCACTGCTCTCCCAAGATCTGAAACTAGGCTTACCTTCCTAGACACTTCCTCTCCAAGGAGAACCCATCTCTGGTACTACCATAGGGGTCAGATCAACTTTGAGCTTGGCGTTTGTGCGGGGACACACACACACACACACACACAATTACAGGACCTTCTGATTTTGACGCAATCCTAAATCTCCCCTCCCATACCTGGGCCAACTTCAGAAAACTTGGGTGTAGGAGGCAGGGGACAAATGTTCACATAGATAAACCGCTTACATCACAAGCCCCTCAAGGCACTCACTCGCACACTCCTCCCTCCAGTGCTCAAAGTGCTCACACTACATATGCTGGATGCATGTGCTGCACGTGCTCATTGTGTGCTGCACATACTGCTTGCTGCAAGCACACTACACAGTGCTCACACTACTTTCGAAGCTTAAGCTGCAACACACCACTTACCACTCATGCTGCTCACGCTGCAATCACCATACCCTCCTCGGTTCTCAGCACACTGCTCAGGCCACACACAATCCCCCACCTCTCCCACTGCCAATTCCTCCCGGCCTGTCCTTCACTGCTCCTGACACAGAGCTCGAAAATCACACCAGGCATGCTCCATTCCACCCCCAACCGGGTCTGCCCAGCACCTCCAGGTAGGGCAGGGGCGTGTCCAGGTTAGGAGGATAATCTTGCAAAAGCCTCTCTTCATCCAGGAATTTGCCCGCACGACCCCGGGAGGGGGGCTGGAACAGCCCATAGTTGAGCGCGTCCTGAAGGCTGTGGTTGAGGGCGCAGAGGACGCGCTGCTTGGCGGCCCACACAGGCGCGGTTGGGTCCAGACGCAGGCACTTCTGCAGCGAAGCGAGTCGTGAGCCGGGACCTGCCCGTCCAGGGCGCCACGTCCCGGGCCCCGCTGAAGAGCTGGCTAGGGAGCAGGAGCCCGGTGGCCGAGACCCCGCCCCGGGGCTGGGCTTCCCGGGCCCCGCCCCGGCGATGGGGAGGGTCCCGCGGAGGCGGCGGGGGAGGGGTGAGTGGCCGCGGCCCGGGGGTCCCCCAGCAGGACTCCCCCCACTGGGGGCCCCCGCAAGCGGGTTGCCCTGGGACACGGAGACACCGCGAGGGCTCACCGTCTGTTGCAGGTCCGGAATGCCGACGCGCACGACCACGGCGCCAGTCCCGGGGCCATCCATCCCCGCGCCTGAGCCGGGGCCCGGACTGTTCGCAGCGGAGAGCGAAGCGCACCGGGACTCCGCGCGGCGCCCCGGCCCCCCCTGACCCCCCGCCGGAACCCCGCCGGCCGCGCTGCGCGGGAGGGGG